ATCTCTGTCAAAGTCCTACGGTAGTATACATGCGTAATATCATGTTTTAACTTCTATTTGTTATTCATAATCAAGTCATATCGATACTAAAGAGAAATCGATATAATGAAATGTTATCGAAAAAAGTATAATTCTTTTGGCTGAAATACACACATTGCATGCCACCTAAACCTTTAGGGTGTAAATAATCTACTCCAAAATCGTTTAAGGGAGTAATAAGACATAATAATGAAAAATAAAATGTGTAATTAAATATTAGAGCTTAGTATAAGGGAGTATTTATGCCTTTTTCCTATATGATGGTACAAAATTATTAAAGAATCTGTCAAGCATTTATCCAAATGGCAGTATAGATGGTAGCTAAATGAATTATCATTATATTATCCGTACATATAAGTATTTATTACTCTGTCTAAAAAATATTTGTGTCAAATTTTATTTTTTGAAAGTTTTTAAAAATAAATTAAATTAAATTTATATAAAAAAATGAAATATTTTAATTTTTATAATACACATTTAAAAATAGAGCATTATTTATTAAGATAATTTCTTTAAAGTTACTAAAATATTCAAGATAGTAAATGAAAATGATTCAATAAAAAATAATTCAATTTCTTACATGTTCCCAATCGACCTCTAAAAATAAATTTCTATCTAAAAAATAAATTTCTAAGTCACTATCCTATTAAATAATTCAACTTAATGAAAATATGAATTTATTTTTATGAATTTTATTTTTAGTTTCAAACTTAACTAGAAAAAGAAAATATTAAAAAAAGTATGCAGAGGGCCAGTTCATGTGAAGCAGTGCGGAGCAGAATGAGGCTGATTGAAAATAAAAAAAATGTTATATGAGGCGGATTAAAAATTTTATGAGTTAAATTCAATCCGCTCCGCATTACCCAATTGCCATCCCTATCTAGAACTTTAACTAGTATTTACTAGGTCAGTTGAACAACACATTATCTCAAGACATAAACCTTAGGGTCCGATAATTATGTGATGAAGGTATAAAGTGAAAATAAAATCTCACTGTATTAACTAATAGTCGTACTAAAAAAATATATAAAAAAATAGGAATCGTACTTTTTACATGATATTATAAAATAAATAGTTTTAATTTAAGGTTGTCCTTCGTGTAACACATATACCTGTTTATGATGTGTCTATTTAATAGTCCTCCGGACGTTTTATCTATTTATTTATTTTAATTTGACGTAATACGAAGTTTAAAAAAATAAAATAAATTTGATAATTTTAAATTAGTTATATGTTTAACATAAAAAAAAATTCTTTGAATCTTATAATTTTATATATAACAAAAAGGATATTGAATTTTGTAAAATGTTATTACGATATAAAAAGTAACAGTATTTTTAAACAAACTAAAAATGAAAAAGGTAAGTTATCAAATTAAAATAAAAGGAGTAATATCTCGATATTTTCACAAATTTATGGAATATTAACAAAGAGATCAAATTCAAATCATCCAAATTTGAGAAATACGTCACTAACAATTCTTGAATCATGGAGAAATCTTATGAGGAGGAACATAATTATACCTAGTTTGATTAATTTATAAAATATTCTTGTTTCTTTAGGTTTTGTTTATGGTTGATTTATTTTTTATATTTTTAAAAAAAATTACAAAGAAATTGACATGTCCCATGGTTCCAAATCTACTCTTCATCTCTTCTCTCAAAAATCATATCTCTGCAAATTTTAAGCCGCAAAATCGTAAAGGTGAAAGAATGATCAATACTTTAAATCTCGTCTTTCAGTTTCATCAAGTCTACACTCCGATAAATCTTGAAGCAAAGATATTTGTAGATATTAACAACCCTCGCATCATGGAGAAATCTTAGGAAAAAGAACCAAATGAAGAACAAAATTGTACGCATATTGATCTATTAATAAAATATTCTTTATTTCTTTTTAAAAAAAAGTTAGGACTTTTTCTGATAAGATATCGGCCATACAAAATCATACACACAATCATGTTAGCCACAAATTTTACGATGCAATAATCTTTATTAAGGTTTTTAATATTCAATTCCTAATATTTTTAGAGTTATAAATAGTTATATTTACTTCTTATTTATATTATGTATTACTATATAAAAGAAAGAGATATGTGTCAGAAATAGGTGTGTTTCTCAAACTAATAACTGATAGTTTAGGTATGAAACACACACTCTCAATAGTTTAGATATGAAACTAAAAAAAAAATAGGTGTGTTTTTTACCCTTGTCTCATATAAGGAACCATGCAAAATGCTTTGTAGTTCTAAATTGGGTTCATCTAGAATCATTGTCACGTGAATACGCGGGCTTCGACTAATTAGTTTCAAATATAAATAATAAAGTAATTAATTTACAATAAATATAGTCATAGTAGTATAAAATACATAAACTTCATTAATTTGGACGTTAATTATATCTTATTTTGATAGTTTCTTAAATTACAATAATCCTGAATTTTGCAGAACTCACGGTATATATATTGTTAATTAGCCTGACACATAGTTGTGTATTGGACACCTAGTTACGTACCAGATATATAACATAAACTAGATTTATACTGATTTAGGTTTGAAATAATTGGGGTTGTGTATTAGCAATATCATTTATACCATATACATTATTTATAAACAAAGTTGTAATGTAGCTGATGGAGGTGGAGTGATGTATCCGGATGTTAAGAGAACGAGAAGGAAAATGAGATTTTTGTAATTAATTCAAATGGTAGGGTTTTTTTAGAGATTATATTATCTTAAGTCGTGTGATTACATAATTTTCCTTATTTTTATTTATAAAAAAAAGAAGTCAAAAATCACAAAAAGTGATATTTTGACTATACATTATGATACACTCAAAAAGCTGAATATAACTTACCTATATTTGAGCTATACACTGACTATACATTATGATCCACTCGAAAAGTGGAAAATAACTTATCTATACAGAAAGTATACATTGACTATACGTTAAGTGTACATTGACTATTCAATTCCGACCAACTCAAAATTTTCTCTAAACAACCTCAAATTTTAGATAAGAAATTCTCTCGAGATTTTGAATTTTTTGATATATAATTCTCTTAAAACGATTCACATTTACTGTACATCAAATTATTTAAATCAAACTTTTAATTGATCATGAAAGAAAAAGAAAGAAGGACTGAAAGCAACAAAAAGAAGAAGAAGAAGAAGAAGCCTTTAATGGCTTAAGTGGAAGGAAGGAGAAGAAGCGGATTCAACCAGTCCGGATAATTTTTTAAAATTACGCCAAGTTTTTCATCAATAAAATGTCAAGAGTGATCATTTTACCTAATTATCCCTTTTTGTTTTTCTCTTACTTTTCCTCAGTTTCAGTTTCAATTTATGTGACACTTTTCAATCATTTCGGATAATTTTTTAAAATTGGGCCAAGTTTTTCATAAATAAAATGTCGGAGTGACCATTTTACCTAATTATCCCTTTTTGTTTTTCTCTTACTTCGTCCGTTTCAATTTATGTGACACTTTTCGTTTTTCGAAAGTAAAACAATTTAAATTTGACCAAAAATTTGTGCATGAAATCTTCAATTTTTTTGAAATGAAATTTATATATTTAGAAACTCCGTAAAAAGTACTATAAGTCATAATAATTGATAAATCAAAATATTTAAAAGATATATAAAAAATTACGATCAAAATTTTTACTTTTTTTTAAATTTCAAAATTTGAAAAGTGTCACACAGACTGAGACATATATATATATATATATATATATATATATATATATATATATTTTTTATTTTTTTTTTCAATACACTCCAATCATACTTTTTCTTTGTATGTATATAAAGACACGTTGTTCTAAAATTTAAAACAAAAAGGGACATATATATAAGAAAAATTGGTGGATCAAAATTATAACCTAAAGAGTCAAGTCCAAAGCATTTATCCAAAGGGGCACTAGAGATGGTGAATGATTAAATGACTTTGTCGTTATATTGTGTATATGTACAAGTATTTATTACTCGTTTTGTTATAAAATATTTATCACATTTTGCTTTTTAAAAATCAATTTAATTAACTTTTAAAAATAAATTAAATTCAATTACTATATTTGAACTGAAACTAAATATTTCAATTTGGGAAAATAGCGGTTTTAGTCTCTGTGTTATTTAATTATACACATTTAATCTTCAATTATTTGAAGTATGTGATTTTGGTCCTTGAAGTTGAGAAAAATACTAACAATTTAACAAAATTATTATTTTAAAATATATAAAATAAAATAAATTGAAGGGTTGGTGATTCTAAATGCCTAAAGAATTATGTATATAAAAAAAATTACATGTTAAACTTTTTAAAGACGGAAAGTTGTTAGGATACCACTGTTAGCCTTAAGGAGTATGTCTACCTACTATGCCCTTTTAAATAAAATCGTATTTGACCTTGATTAATAACCATTAAAAAGCAGAGCAAATAGAGAAGCAAATAAGATCAATTTTTATATATAAAATAATCATTCTAATTGCATTTCTTAAAATACATAAAATATAACTTTAATTTTATATACACAACTCTACCACTATTTTCCCTTTTAATTAAGTTAAATTATTTCTAAATCTATCTTTGGATATGGTCGGCCTTCTCCATTAGACGCTCCAACACCACACTCAGAACCAAAAGCAAAAATCACAAAGAGTTCTAACTTCTATACGTTGATAGCTACATAACATACATAAATTACATACAATTAAATCATATAAAAGATTATATATGTAACCATATAGATATATAAGAGATAAAATAAGACAAATAATCTGCTACCACGTAGTTCAAAGTTCAAATCACACGAATAATATAAAAACTCACACCAAGTGGTGAAATTCAACAAGGAAATTACACACATGAATTATGTGTACCATAATTTGATTAATGATTGTATGTATAACTACAGCCAATCATTCTTCAAACATAGGCAAAATTAATTAATTAATTATAACTAACTATGATCCATATAAGTGCATATCTAAACTCACATGATCTTGAATTTCCCTCTTCTTTTCATCATTAGGAAAAAATGAGTTATGAGAAGAAGAAGATGAGGGATTATTAGTCTGATAATGATGAACTGTTGGAGGAATTTGCCAAAATGCCAATGGACTTCCATTGTAATTAGGACTATAAACATTATATACATTTCCATAAAATGTAGGAGTATTATTGTTAATGGTGGTCCATCACTACAAAAAATTCGCCTTTTAGCCACGCGTGAAACCGTGGCTAAATGGTAGCCAAACCGTGGCTATCACATATTGGCCACGGCCACTTAGCCACGGTCAGCTGCGTGCCCAACAGGGGCGTCGCCATGAATTTTGCCACGGTTTTAGCGTCCGTGGGTAACTTTCTTCTAGCCACGGTTTAAATTGTGTTTAGCCACGGTCTACCCATGGGTAAATTTGCCTACAACAAATCATGACTTATCCATATATTAACCGTGGCTAATTTAGGCGTTGGTAATTTGCTCATAACTTTAATACAAAATATGAACTAGCTACGGTTCAACCGTGGCAAAAGTGAGTTTTTTTTTTAAAAAAACAATAATTTCCCTGCTATATATCCCAATATCAATACACTAATAGATAGGCATTCACAGTGATCACATAATTATCACTTGATACAATAAAATGATTTCCAAAAGATTTACTGAACCAGTATACACACAAAACTAGCTATTATAATAATGATCAAAGTTCCAACATTGTTCTACATATAGTCACAAAAGATAAGAGCTTCAAACCTTGAATATTCATACAAAATACCACAAATACTAGAGTAATGGAAATACTAAAAGTTAAATGAAACACCATATATATAGTTTGTCTTAAAATATACTAAAGGCTAAGAAGATTAGTTGAAAGTAGGCAACTCACTACCAAACTTAGCTTGTAAAAGCTTATGAAGAGTTGCCAACTGATCCTCATTTTGCACAAGTCGATTCTTAGTTTCCTCGAGCGTTTATTTGGTCGCCTCAAGCTGTTTTTTTGTCTCTTTATATACCTTTTCTTTCAAGGTTTCTACATGTTTCTCTAGGTCTCTAACACGTTGATGAGACATACTACTAGAGCTACCAAGATTCACATGACTAATTGAATGCGAGGCATTCCAAAAGCATTTGAAGGGCAAACATTACCACCTAAACCATGCACTCGATCAGAATGCTCAACTCCATACACTTTTCCAACGGCATCATTAGAATGAGCTAGTATCTTCATAGGAACACCTGAACTGGCAGCAAGTTCCTGATCTTTAGGTAGTTGCTCCGATATCTTATCCTACAAGAAAAGATATTTTCACAATACTATAGGCAAATAGAACACACCCCAAAGCACTACTACTAACAAAAGTTAACATAATTTGTACAAAAAAAATATTAACAAAAGTATTACTACAAGACATCAACTATTTTGACTAAAACTTAAACAAAAACCACTTTCTAATGTGTAATGAGAGAACCCAATACAAATTATCACAATTTCAAAGTTATTTGACGAGGAAAGATGAAGAGCATCCTAGGCAGACACATTTGTAGCACAAAGGCAGCTGCTACATTAGTTATTTTTTATTTTTATTCTTTGGTAGCTAGTTGAGTCTTATGCTAGGCTATAGACCAAAGAAAAAAGACAAGAATAAATCAACACCATAATTGAAATTTGAAAATGGACAGGTATATAAATCTTACAGCTAAAATCTCATTCACATAATTACCATCCTTCTTCAGTAAAATTGACAAAATAACCTCACTCCGACACACAAGTCTTTTCAATTTTTACTCCTGTCATTAATCAAGTATATATAAATAAAAAATAAACATGAAACACATTTCACTTGATACAATAAAATGATTTCCAAATAGAATTCAAGGTTAAGAAACATACCATTTGACGACCTCTCCTTGCATTGCTTTTGCTACCACCGGCATGCGAGACTTTAAGTTTCTTTCTATTTTTTACATTTTGTGCACTTTATTTCTGTAATTATCAAACATAAATTTAATTACATGTAATAGAAGGGCACAATTTCACAAGATGTAGGACACAAGTTCTTAAAGCTATATAAATCGTTTTATCACAGCCAACACCAACAATATTACTTAATGAAAGCAAACAAAAATCAATCTTAAATTTTTAGACTCACAATGGTCTTTATAACATGTTCATTTAGATTGCTCAACAATCATACAACTATATCCTATTTCATAATTGTTGGCATCTTAAAAGGAGTATCTACTTCCACACAAAGGATGCAATATAAAATTTAAAAGGAAGATATCGGAGCGAGAAAAGAGTTTAAGCTCTAATGATGTTGAAGGGAGAGAGCAAAAACAGACATTGCAAAGCCGAAACAAGAACTTACCAACATATTTGAAGCATTCATTGACATCACATAAGTTTCTTATAAGTAACTAGTAATTTTCAGCCCTTTTTGTCTCTACAAATTTAGCATATAAGTTATAACTTCTAATTCTTATTGTATTTATAGTTGAAGGCATATTTAAATGTACAAAATGAGTTATATTGTGTATGTACAGAACTTAGGAGTTAGAAAGTTTCATATTTCTTCCTTTCCATACTTTTCTGAAGTAAAGTTGTTATGTAGCAAGAGTCCAATGGAGTAGCAGGGTGAATTACGATGGATTGAAAACTAATGCAAAGAAAATGTTTCATGGGATGCTATTTACAGAATGACACTTACAAGGATAATTTAACACTTGTGGCAGATGTTTAACTGAGGATATTCCAAAGCCAAGAAGAATAGATGAAGTCCTGATCAAAATGATCCTTCAAAAAGTTTATTTGAGAGCCAATTTGAGACCTTAGTCGGCTAGAAAACTAAGAGAACTGAATGTATACCCAACGTAAACTGTGTTGAAATTGTTTTTTTTTCTAAGAGTCTACATATGCAAGCCTAGAGATTTCGAATGAATATCGAACCTAGTTCTTCTGTTTTTTATTTTTACCTTGAGTTGTAAAGTCCATTTTGGTTATTAATAAAAATTATTTACCCAAAAAATAAGAGAAAGAAAGAATCAAATTATGAACAACAATTACCTTCATCTTATCCTTATTACAGTGATGCACAAAGGCAATCCAATCAATAGAATCCACATTTTCGGGAGGCTTAGCAAGTAGCTCTTCTTTACTTTTGTTGGGGTAGAAGTTATTACATCGTAACTTATATTTAAGGGCCCTCCACCTCTCGCGTAAAGATTGCATCACCCATTTAAATCCAATCTCATAATCAAACTCAAAATTCTCCTTCATATATGTTTGTATTCATAAATCAGTACCTATTGAAAAAGATAACATTATTTGAATGGCAATAAAGTTAGCTAGTTACCTCAATAAGTTGCCATTGTCGTTTTGTTTTTTCATGTGGCATCCTATCCCATCACTCAACTAATATGGGACAAAATACAAACATTTGAGAAAGTTTGCCAAGAAATCTCACAAGCAAATTTGAACCATTGTCACTTCCTTTTCCATCACCATTTAGTTCCACCATGATTTTTTAATTTTTTTCAAAGTTTCAAACTCGATTTGATTGCATCTTTTGAGTAGTAACTTCTCCGGTTGAAGTATCTATCATTTTAACAAGCCATTAACAGAAATGAAAAGTAATGATAACAACAAACTAATAATAAAGAATACAAAGCAACAATCAACTCTAATATGAAATTACTTCTAACCTCTAATGTGGACAAGTAACGACTCATTTTTCACCTGTGAGCTGGCTCCAACAAAACTTGAAGAAGAAATTAAATTTCCATTACCGAGAGTAGGAGTTGTGATATTCTCATTCACAATTTGGTCATCTAGTTGATCAAAATTTAGGGAAATTGTGCTATTGTTGTCAGCTTGTCGTCCTCGTAGGCTTTCTAACAATGATTATGCTCTTACAACTAGAAAACCCAATAAAACTTAAAACAAGTAGTAACGTATTTGATCCCAGATAGGCACTGCTCTTTAATTTTTCAAATGTTGAACTTAAATTCATGTTCCTTATACAGAAACAAACGATAACTAGAACATGGTTAGAAATGCACAGAACAAAACAAAAGGAGATCTAATCTTGCAAAATTTCACACCTCTCAAGATTTATATATAAGTTTATAGGTTATCGATTTATGATAATAATTCCTCCAATGTATAATCTTATCTACAAAATTCGTGGGGAAAATATATCCATCAATCTTTCCAGAGGTGTGAGCATGATTTTTCCAACATAAATAAAGTAGGATGTATAACCTACCACTAAAATTTCTATTCTTTACAACATGAAAACCCAATAAAAACACATCAAATTGCAGATTTCAAAAGCTCATAACTTCAATAAACAAAAACTTTATCCAAAACCCTACATTCAATTTGAGTTTAAATACACTAGATTCCAAAGATTTGTTACTTGAACGAAGAAAACTTACCACATTACACAACTATTTGAAGCGGCTTTTGACAGAAATCGATTTTGAAGAAGAGAGTCGAATTTTGGGCAGAAATCGATTTAGATTTTGGGGGTTGGTTTTGGGTGAAGTGAGAGAAAAGAGAGTGAGTAGAGGGAAATAATAGAAAAGGAGGCAAATGAAAAAATAAAGAAAGGGAATGAAATTTTATCCGGCTATTTTAGCCACAGATGTTTAGCCACAGTTCGTACTATGTAGAGAATTTTTTATTTTTTAGCTAATTTTGCCACAGTTTTTGCGACCGTGGCTAATAAACCGTGGCTAAAAGGCGATTTTTTGGTAGTGCATGTTGAATGATGACGAGGTAATCTTGCAGCTGCACCAAGGCGATGACGGTTCGTCTCTGTCAATCAAAACAAACGTTGTATTTAAAGTAATAGTATAATATATATATGCGATGATCACATGTTGAATGATGATGATGATCGAGCACTACATAAATATGTGTATTTGGTAATAACAACAACATACCTAATCCTATAAAGTGAGATCTAGAAAAGGTAATGTGTACGCAAACCTTACCACTACGTACGTACGTACCTTGAAGCTAGGTAGAGAGCCTAGTTGTTTCTGATAGACCCTCACCTCAAGGAGCTAGGTAGAGAGCCTAGAAAATGACTTATTGTTTGAAAAAACATTTGTCGTCATATCAAAAAATAAACTACTATATATTAAAAATTCTTTATTAATTTTACCATGCACTATTGAAGACTGAAGATGAGATCGTTTGGCATTTAGTCTTTCTTTCTTGTGTGCATTTTGATGGCCTCCTAAAGCTTGAGAAGTTGGAAAGTTCCTAAAACAATAGTGACATTCATATTTCCTCATGATTTCAACATTCTTGTCAATATGACTTTCTTTAACAGTACGAATATTCATCATATTTGGTTTAGGTTGATGGTGGAAAGGATTACTGTCGGTTGATTCAGACATGTTGGGATTGGTGATAGTAACAACAAATTCTTTACCAAAAAGTCTAATGGACTTTTTTTTAAGGGGTTGAGAGAAGGACTCCATATTCATGTAATCAAGATCTTCTCTTCCAATCTTCTCCATGAATTTAATTTTGATTTTTGTGTGTGTGTTGTTTTTTCTAAAGAGGAGTTGAAGAATGTTGTTTATATTAGGGTTTTGGGAAGGTCTAATGGGACCAATATAGTAAGTGGTGCATTCAATACAATCGAATTAGCCAGTAACTTACTTCTTCTGTTACGATTAATTAATTATCTGACTTAACATAAAATTTAAGTGAAAAAGAAGATTTTTGTAATTTATAATGTATAACATGTCATAGTAACATTTATATTGCTATAAGACTTTTGAAATTTGTATGGTATAAAACATGCTATATATACAATAAACCTTCTGTGGGCTATTAAAATTTCACATTAAAAGGAAAGCTTATAGTTAGATATTTTTTAGCTATAAAAATATTTTTACATTAATAAATAATATACATCATTATTGTAAATATCGATTTATTCAATTTTGCATGTATTAGAATATATAGAGACAAATTTTACGTTTTTAAATGTGGTTAAAAACATAACGTACAAGTTGCTCTAGCTCAAAGATTTTTTTAAAAGTAGGGGCCACTTTAATTTGAGAGAAACAATCAATATGATTAGTTCATGAACGTAATGAGTTTGAAAATCTATTACAATTTATATATAGTTTAGCAGGTTTGAAATCGATAATTTCTAATTATTTAGTGAATTTTTAAATATATATTAAGATTATCGAATTTAGATTAATCTTTAATTAAAATTAATTATGTGCATTTCATCTATTTTATTAAGTATATATAAATTAACATGGTAGGAGTCAAGCCAAACCCTCACACCTTATGCTTACAACCTAATGGTGACCACTTAAATTAAAAAAAATGTCATTTTCGAACTCAACTTTATCTCCCATGAGCATTTTTGTGGTGTTTGATTTGATGTAAAATTTTCTGCATAACTTCTATAAAAGATATATATATTTACAAAAATATCTATAAATATTTGATTGTGAACTCAGTTATTATTGTATTATTCACTTGAAATCACAGTAGGAATTCATTAACTTCACCTGGATCCACAATTGAATATGTTTTATGACTGAAGGCTTGAGTTCTTATCTTCAAGATGTTAGCTGAGATTGCACATTGGATATTCTGACAATCGTTTAATGACTATTGAAAACATTCTATAGGGGTGGGCCGCCCTGAAAATTATGGTTAGAAAATGTAATTTAATATCATATAAAAGCTATACAGCATGTAGATCATGCACTGAAAACAAATTACTTAAACATGTGGCAGAGGCACAAAAAGTAGTAGGTATACATATTATGCATACATATAAAGATTCATATATAATCTTTAAGTTATGTGCAAAGCGTAATCTGAAAATTATCTGTGCATGGACTGGACAGTCCTTAACATGAAATTGATTACACCCAAAAAAAAGTCTTAAAAAAGAGAAAAAGTAAAGTAAAACCAACATGATTATCGCCATTTCCAACCTTAATGAATGGACTATGAAGGGATCATTTAAGATGTTCGGATGTTTCAACTGGTTCTCGTTCAGCCTTCCCTGCCTCATAGTCCATCAGCTGGTAGGGTGATCAACTTAGGGGGCACCCACTTCCTCTTTAGGTCTGGACTCGATGACCTGACGGTTCTTCGGTCTTTTTCTTTTTCCACCCGATGGCCAGTATTTTCTTTTGGGCTTGACTAATCCGGATTCATGCTAGAGAATCCCACTATGGGAGGTAAAGCGTTCTTTACCTGCGGCGATTCCATTCCCAAGGCTCGAACTTGGGACCTTTAGTTAAAAGTTCCTAAGTCTTCACTTTCAGTGGCGGGAGTGTTTTGTCGCTGGGGCTTCCTTTTCCTCAACCAAGTCGGTTGTGTCAGCCTTAAGATAGGTCTGACATTTTGTTATGAGCATATTGGACAAAGATCGATTGAAAGATATATTTGAGTTATCCATAATGTATTACTTGGTCATATGGAACAAAACACTATTGCTATTATTATTAGGGATAAGGGTCTGAAAAATACCTCAACTTTGGTCGAATTTGCTGTTGCGATACTAAACTTTCATGAGGACCTATTACTTCCCTAGACTATTTAATGGTGTATTTTTTACTCCCTGAACTATTTAATAGTGTATTTTAAAGGTATATATGTGCCCACGTGGACACATTACTATTTATAATTTTACATTATTTTTTATGTCCACGTGAGCAAATATATATGTTTAAAATACGGTATTAAATAGTCTAGGAATGTAATAGGTCCTCATGAAAGTTTAGTATCGCAACAGCAAATTCGACCAAAGTTGGGGTATTGTTTAGACCCTTCTCCCTTATTATTATTATAAGAACTAAGAAATAACAATGGTACATAACTATATATGGATATATTGTAAAAAGTGAAAAAAATATATGGACATTTAACTCCACTGACACTTAAGCACAGGACACTCTTGAAGCTCTACTGGTTTTCTTTACATAGTTTTGTTTTGTGGTCCTAATAATGCACTCTCTCTGTTCAAGTCTTTATCATCTTTAGTAAATGCATTTCATGTTTCCTCTTGTTTCTATTTTGTAATGTCCCACCATTTTTCTGCATTCACTTGTGGACCTTTTAGATAGTTGAGAGTAGAGGTGGATGTAGAGTACTGTATCAGGTTCATCAGAACTAAGTACTTCCGATACAGAGCATAAATATTATGTATAAAATCCACGAAAATTAACAAATAGTATATGTGAACTCGTTGTTGACACCCAATTTCGGACCTCTACAGTATATATTAATTATCGAGTTTCTTAAATCTCCGAACGACTTGAAATAATTAGTTTGATAACATTCAAATATTTTTCGAGTTATTTTAAAGTAATTTTAGTCGCTTTTATAATTTTTAAGTAATATATATGTTTTACATAATTATGTATATAAATAGTATATTTTATGAATATTCGAAAATCATCTCAAAAAGTTTTAATTTTATTCAAATATTTTGTTTTAGTTTAGTTAACCAATAGTTTATATTTTGGAGTTAATTAGCTTATAACTAAGTTAATTATTTTATTTTGTTAAGATTAAGAAACTCATTAATTAATTCATTTTAATTCGTCTTAATTAGTTTTTAGCCAAATCACCAATTAAACTCAATTTGGCTAGATTCTTAAATTCAATTGGCTATAATTTGAATCGAATGAGTCAAATCGTCAATTTAGATTTAACCTCCCTCTTACTTCATACTTACCCATTTGTGATAAACTAATTTGGGCCCTATTTATAAATTCCCAGCCCATTTCTTTTTCCAATTCTTTTCCATTCCAGCCAGCCCAACTCTTATTCAGCAATTTCCAGCAGCCCACTTTAATTCCTAGTCCCTTGCAAATCAATTCCAGCGCCCCAATCCAATTCCTCCGACCCGACCCACCTTTTCAACTCTAAAAAAATCCAGTAACGTATTCCTCCAAGGTTAATCTCAGCAATAGTTCACGATTCACAGCAAGCTGACGACGTCCTCAACAGCAAAATCCAGGGCGACAAAAGCAGCTTCAGACGGCGTCAAATAGACGGAAAGCGAGTCTCAACGACTCTGTCCTCAGGCTGGTACGATTTTTGTACAGCCTTTCCGCGATCCCAGCCGATGCTTCATCCTTGGGGCTGTGAGATCGCTCCACGTTGCACCCAAGGACATAGGAACCGATCTGAGGCGTCAATTCACCCTTTCCCCTTCCGGAATGGGGTTGAAGATCTTAGAAAAAGGTGCTTATCCTAATTGATGAAAGATTTTTCAAGTTCAAATTTTCAAAACGGGCCCTTGGAATCCGAATTTTTTTTATCTATTTCCCTCCAAGGTCGGAACCCTAGCATCCATCTATATAACCCACTACTATTTTGTTAAGAGGGCGGATTTTTTTTTGGAAAAAAGTGGAGAGATTCTGATGAGAAAGAAATTTTAACCAAGGCATAAAAAGTAACTAATACCTACAATATATATTTGAAAGAGAAACAGAGGCGGGACTCGTTTTGGGTGTTTTTGGTTTGATATTCTTGCCCAAATTTCTTGGCTACTGTTCGTGTTTCGGACTCGTGTAGAAGAAGCCGTTGTTCCTCTGCTCGTTCTGTCCCAATTTCGCTGCACCGTTAAAGGTAATACACATTTTTGATTCAACTATCTTTGCTTTTAATATGTTGTTGGTGTGTAGGCTGTTTACATTATGATGTTTGAGCTTATTGTGACTCACTGTTTATCATAAATCAGTCCGTGGTTGGTTCGTTTGCTTCCGAATATTGATAAGAGTTGAGGTTCTCCGTTTCCCTTTGTCTACTATTTCATCTTTTGATCTCGACTGTGGTTGGAATATGTGTATAGATGTTGGTGGGCTGTTTATTGGTTGCAACTATGTTTCTCGTCTTAGTTTTCTTCTCGTTGTCATAAATCTGTACTGATATGTAAGTGTTTGATGTCGCATCCTTCGTTCTTTCACCTCAAGTTGAAGGAATGAAGCAAGACGTCAATATTTCGAGTTCTTAGTGTTTTATATTTGTTGTCTCGAATCTGTAGCTGCTTATTTCGACCATGTTAACTCCCGTTTATGCTGTCTATACGCAATATAGCTTATACGTAACGAATTAGTCAAGCTCCATGTTTGGTTTGAGCTAAAAACCTTTTCAAAATATATTGATGTCTTGTTCTTGTACGTGTTTTAAAGAATGAGTTGTGTTTTTTTTTTTTTCTCCTTTGTAATGGCCTATGGTGATCGAGTCTCATGTCGGAAAGATTATAGGCTTATAGCCTTACAAGTTGAGTTTTAATTCATTTTTGTTTGGTTGTGAATGTGTGCCTGTGTATGTAAAATTTGTATTGGGGCTTACTGCAATTTTTGTATGCCCATGCTTGTCATTCTTATTATTTTTTATTTTACTTATTTATTTTTGAAGTTCTGAAAATGCTAAAAGAAAGAACAAAAAAATAAAAAATATATATATATATATATAAAATCACATCTCTTATTCATGTCCAAATTCCACCGAGCAGTAGCATTGT